GATTGAGCAAACTGTTTATGCTTGGATTCTAGAGGGCATGTTATATGCCAAAGATTGAAGGAAAATGTTCTTATTGTATGCAATATAGGTTTGCTCAGTATTACCTCAACATTGCTTTTGTGCTGCCAATATAAACTAGAGTTGTGTGGGTTTTGTTTGACAAGTTTTTTACAACACACAAGTGCGGCTGACTGCAAACCCATGGGTCTTCCTCTGTTGGCTGTAATCCACAATGTAAAACAAACCTGGCTCATTCATCCTGAAAACATAGTGAATCCATACAAATGTGGATTGATTATTCTTCTGTCTGAAGCTGAAATAAAAGGGAGGGACATATTTGGCTTTTAGACTGAAGCACAATGAAGAGGAGAAGAGTGGCTACTGACTTTGTCATGAAGAATGTTTTGGATGAGATAGAAGTAAGGAGGAGAAAAAGAGCAGAGGCAAAAGCAATCCTGGAGTTGTTCTGTTCATGGATGCTGACTGACCTATTTGTGCTTCCAACATTTGCATTTGTTTTGGCTTTGTGTTTGTTCTTTAATCCCTACTATAACAGTCATCCCATACTTGTTGTTTTCATGCAGGAAAGCTTTGATGGCAAAGAAGGAATATCTTTTGGGACATGAAAAGTTTCCCACTACAAAGAGAAAACATTTGGAATGAGAGAGTGAAAGGGTGAAAAGAGAGGCGTCGGTCAGGACTGGCACCACTCCACCACATTCATGTGGTGCCACCAGAGCAATTAGGGAGAAGATTTCATGTCAGCCTGTTCTGCAAATCTGTAACATGATCTGAGGCAACTTACTATTTTTGGACGGATTAATGACCTAGACACATTAATCTTTGTTGCTTTTTTCAAGACCATAAACCATATTAGTTATATTTCTAAGAACCTGTTCCAAATGCAATGGTTAGTCACGTTTTGTAAAACACTGTAGCAATCTTCTTGCCAACAGATCCTGTAAAGAGGTGTAAATATTACCAGTTCATCAGATTTAGCATTTAAATTGTAGATCTGTCAATTAAATGTGACAAATCTGTCAGCCTACTCTTAAAAGCACAGCACTGACACATGAATTTCCTCATTTGTTTTGTCATTACTTCTCTAGCTGTAATTCCAAGTTGTCCAGTTAAGTAAAACTTCATTGATACAAACTGATTAACCTATCATGGTCTCAGCATACAGGCCTATGATTGACCATGAGAGGGTCTGGAATATGACGCATCAAACACATATGGAAAACAGTAGCAGAGGTAATCCTACTGGTGGATAAAATTTTGAAATCATGGATAATCACATTTGTATCCAGAAAACTTTGGTCCACACAGTCTGAGTGATGTTCAGGGCTATTTATGAAGTTTACTGATCTGAAAGCAGTGTTCCTGGATAGTTGCATTTATTATTTCACATTTTAAGCTGATTATTGCATTTTGACAATTTTTTTAAAGTGGCATTTGAGAATAGCATACAAGGAAGGATTTTGATTTTGTTTCTCATTAAAAATAGCACCTGATAAAAATGAGCAAGTTGTAGTGTTGGTCATTAGGCAGCTTTAATTGTATTCTGAAAGTTATGATCTCATCCTCGCACAGGATGGCACTACTTCTTTTAGGAAAATCTTTCATCCACTGATAGTTGAGGGAAGTGCAGGCTTTAAGACAACATGCATGTCAGGTTAACGTGACTTTGAGAGGAACTTGTAGATGATCATGTTCTGAAACACTTACTGACTGTGCACTTCTAAATGGTAGAGGTCAGATTCAGAAGGTGCTGTTGAAGAGGTTTTGGTGAGCTGCTATAGTGAGTCTGAGGTGGTACATACTGCAGATACAGTGTGCAGATTGGGGAGGGAATGACTATTGAAGGTGGTGAATGGGTTGTTAATCAAGCAGACTGTTTTGTTCTGCATAATACTTAGCTTCTTCAATGCATTTGAAACCATTGCAGGCAAGTGGAGAGCATTCTATTGCATTCCTGACTTGTGTTTTGTTGATGATGAAAGGCTTTGTAGAGTCATGAAGTGACTTATTCACAGCAGAATATCCTAGACACTCTTGTAGACACCATATTTATGTTGATGGTCCATTTATGTTTGTGCTTGATGGTAGTCCCTGAATGTTAATGCAGAGGGATTCAGTGAAGGTAAAGCAATTGACTAACAAGAGGAGGTAGTTACATTTTCTCCAGTTAGAGATGTTCATTGCTGGAATTTGTTATTTGCCATTTATCAGACCAAACACAAATATTGTTCAAAGGTTGCTGCACATAACAAATAAATTGATTTAGTATCCGAAGAATTGTGAATAAAACTGAACATTGTGCAAACATTAGTGAGCATCCCCGTTCAGACTTTCTGATAATATGAAGGTCATTGATGAAGTGGGCCTAGGACACTTTAAGAAATTCTGCATCAATGTCCTGGGCCTGAGATGATTGAACTACTGCAATAACAAACCTCTTCCTTCATGCTAGGTACTTATCTAGCCAGTGGAGAGCATCCTCCTTGATTCCTATTGAATTCAATATCTCCAAGTCTCCCTGATGCCACATTGACTCAAATCCTGATGTCAATGGCAGACATTCTGACCTCACCTCTAGGATTTAGCTTGAATAGTTATGTTTGATTCAAGGCTTAACGTGATCTCAAGCTAAGAGGTACTGGTGAAACCCAAAAGGAGCTCAATTCAGAAGGCAGCGGGTGTGCAAGTGCTGCTTGATAGCACTGTCACCAACATTTCCATTACTTTGCTGATGATTGAGAGGAAATTGATGGGCCAGTAATTTAGCAGATTGGATTCATTGTGCTTTACGTGAAAGGAACATACCTGGATATTTTTCCATATTGTCATTCAAATGCCAGTGTTGTAGCTGCATTACAGCAGCTTGCCTAGGGCCAAGGCTAGTTCTAGAGCACAAGACTTTAGCACTATTGCAGTTGTCAGTCTTATAGCCTTTGTTCTATCTGGTATCTTCAGCCATTTCTTGATATTATGCAGAGAGAATAAAAAAATCAATGAATCAAAAAATTTTGGTGGTGTTCATGTTCAAGATTCCAGCCTCTTAGCCATTTGAACAGCAAAATGATGGTGGAGACAGAAGGTTAATATAATTCACAAAACAATTTTGGATTTATATATGAAGGAGCCTCTTCGTTTTAAAAAGCCACTTACCTGATCCAATATGATTGCAATATGAACCTCATTGTAGTATTCTTATTTGTTGTCCTTCTCAATAACTATGGAAGGTTGAGTCATCCCAAACATATTATTAGTTCCAAGAATATACTTTGTTCTGAATCAGAAAGAGAGCAGGATGACTGGGCTACCAATAATGCTCATGAATTAGCTGTATGCATGCTGGTCATTGGTGCACATGCTGTTGCACATTAATTAAGCCCTTTTGTTTATTTAACAGTGTGTGTTGACTGTTGGAATGCATGTAGCCATATGAGTGCAATCTGTAAATCCAAGTACCAAAGATGTGATAAAAATTTGATCAAAATGAATGACTGTCTTATCCATTCATCTTGATACTGCATCAAATTTAATAGTCTGGCCACCTTAGAAAGCATGATATTAATTTCAAAGGGCACTCGCTGCAAGTATGGACAGTTAATTGACTAAAACTGCTCCTTGGATTGATCTAATAGCCAAGAAATCAACTGCTCCAGTGACTTTCTGATATTCAGAGAGCATATCTTGGTCTTCAAGAAGTATTGCAAATCTTCATGTCAATGATACAAAATTGCATGATATAATATTCCTTCTTATGCATAACACCAGGGTTATCATAGAATCCGTACAGTGTGGGAACAGGCTATTCAGCCCAACAAGTCCACACTGGCTCTCTGAAGATCATCCCACCCAGATTTACAACCCAACCCTATAACACTGCATTTCCCATGGCTAATCCACCCAGTTTACACATTCCTGAACATTATAGGTAATTTAGCATGGCCAATCCACCTAGCCTGCGCATCTTTGGACTGTGGGAGGAAACCAGAGCACCCGGAGAAAACCCACACAGGCACAGGGAGAATCTGCAAACTCCACACAGACACTTGCCCAAGGCTGGAATCAAACATGGGTCCCTAGTGCTGTGAAACAGCAGTGCTAACCACTGAGCCACCATGTTATAGTCAAGCTACTCCTGGTTGCTGAGAATATGTAGAAAGTTCTGGACTTCCTGCAGTTATTGCATTGTGTATTGTCTGGTGCCCTACCACTACTCCAATTTACATTTCTAAGAGGAATTTAGAACCCATTTGGAAATCCATGTTTAGTTTTACTGATTATTCTAGAGAAATTCCTCCAACAAAACACATTTTACTGAGAGGAATTTTGAAATTAAGCTGGGAGACTCAAAAATACTTACCAAAAACAACTCTAAAGTGATTATTTTAAAAAAAAAATCCCTGCAATTCATCTTTAAGTATTAACCTTAGCCTTTCTCTGTTTAAATCATCTAAGGGACTTGTGTTTCATAGTGTTATACATTAGATTTGTGACTCCTTGGGTATAAGAGAAGTCATTTTGAAGGGATAATGTTTTCAAAGCCATAAAGCATCATTTGCGTGGCTACATCCTTTTAAGAGTTGGTGCATCTTCCTCCAGTCCTTGCTTCTTGTACAATTTAGGTCAGAAACTAAGTGGTGTGATCTTTTGGATCCAGGCATTCTCTCAAATTCATTTCCAGTTTGAGCCATTTGATTTCCATCAGACAAAACCATAAAATTTTGAGATCAAGATGTTGTTCATCTTTAACTAAACTAAGCTGAAAATATGAAAGTTGAAATTGTTAACTGAATTTGGGATTTATCATCACAATTTCTATTGAAAATACTTCAGTTATTTCCTTTATAACATTAATTCAAGTAACAACAAACATAATTACACTGAATTACTGCGCAGATGGTGAAATGTTTCTTTAAGCATACTCAGACAATTGTCCCATGAGGAACAGCACTGGCTTTCCTTGTTTTAATAGTCAGAAGTCACATGACACCAGGTTACAGTCCAACAGCTGCTCCTTCGTCAGGTCACCTGTATATATTTCCTTCCTGCATGAGGTAAGGCCGTCCTTGTTATTTGCAACTGCACAGTAGCTCTGTGGGATATAAAATTACAATGTATCATTTGAGTTTCTTTTTCCTTGTGGGAAAGATTGTACAGGACAGAATAGCAATCTTTTATATGTACTTATAGATGATCTCTTTTGCATAAAGTATATTTCACCTCCAATTTCCACCCTGTCCTTACTTTCACCTGGTCTATCTCTGATTCCTCCCCTCCCTTCCTCGTCATTTCTGTTTACATTTCTGGGGATAGACTGGCCACTAATATCCACTATAAACCCACTGACTCCCACATTTTTCTGAAGAAGGGTCTAGGCCCGAAATGTCAGCCTTCCTGCTCCTCTGATGTTGCTTGGCCTGCTGTGTTCATCCAGCTCTACACCTTGTTATCTCAGATTCTCCAGCATCTGCAGTTCCGACTATCTCTGACTCCCACAGCCACCTGGACTATACATCCTTGCACCCTGCTTCCTGTAAAGACTCCATCCCATTCTCTCAGTTCCTCTGTCTCCGTCACATATATTCAGATGTGGCCAACTTCGACAAGCGAGCCTCCGAAATGTCCACCTTCTTACTCAACCGAGGATTCCCCAGCACTGTTGTCAACAGGGCCCTCAACTGCGTCCGACCCATTTCCCACACTTCCACCCTCACCCCTTCTCTTCCCTCCCGCAACAGCAATAGGGTTCCCCTTGTCCTTACAAGGCTGGGGGGAGGCAATGGTCTAGTGGTGTTATCGCTGGACTGTTAATCCAGAGACCGGACAACATTCTGGGGACCCAGGTTCAAATTTTGCCACGGCAGATGGTGGAATTTGAATCCAATAAAATATCTGGAATTAAGAATCTAATGATAACCATGAAACCATTGTCAATTGTAAAAACCTATATGGTTCACTAATGTCCTTTAGGGAAGGAAACTGCCATCCTTATCTGCTCTGTCCTACATGTGACTCCAGACCCACAGCAACATGGTTGACTCTTAACTGCCCTCTGGGCAATTAGGGATGGACAATAAATGCTGTTTAGACAGTGACACCCTCATCCCATAATGAATAAAGGAATAAAGGTACCTACCATCCCCCCAGCATCCATATCCAGAAGATCATCAAATGCCATTTCTGTCACCTCCAGCAAGATGCCATCACCAGACACATATTCCCCTCCCCTCTCTTGTCCACCTTTCGCAGGGACCGTTCCCTCCGGGACACCCTGGTCTGCACTTCCTTCCCCCTCAACACCCCCCTACAGCCCTACGGCACCTTCCCTGCAACCAGGGAAGGTGCAACACATGCCCATTTACCTCCTCCCTCCCTACCATCCAAGGGCCCAAACATACCTTCCAGGTAAAGCAACACTTCACCTGCACTTCCCAAAATCTAGTCTACTGCATTTGCTGCTCACATTGTGGTCTCCTCTACATTGGGGAAACGAAGCATAGACTGGATGACCGCTTCGCAGAACATCTATGTTCTGCTCGCAAAAAAGACCCTGAGTACCTGTTGCCTGCCACTTTAACACACCACCCTGCTCCCTGGTCAACATCTCTGTCTCTGGCTTGCTGCAGTATTCCAGCAAAGCTCAACACAAGCTGGAAGAACAACACCTCATTTTCCACTTGGGGACCCTACAGCCCTCCAGACTCAATGTCGAGTTCAATAATTTTAGGGCCTAAACTCCCCCATGTCCCAGCCCCCTACCCCACACACCAAGCCTTGTTACCACATAGCCTGCCATTACACACCCCCTGTTGTTAGTCACTAATAGTCCCCATTAACAACTATTCACCCTCCCAGCCGGATCGTTATCAACTCTTTTGTCTGTCCAACTGTCTTTCTCTCTCTTTAGGCTCTATTCTATTGTTTACTCCCTACCCCTGCCCCCTCCCCATTTTTGGCATATAAACTGAAGTTTTCCCAGCCACCATCAGTTCTGAGGAAAGGTCACTGGACCCGAAATGTTAACTCTGATTTTTTCTTCACAGATGCTGCCAGACCTGCTGAGCTTTTCCAGCAACTTTGTTTTTGTTCCTGATTTACAGCATCCGCAGTTCTTTTGGTTTTTAATAAACTAGGGAACCTTGCTGTCAATGACAATGGATCAGAACTCAAAATACAATTAGGATTTGTTAAATTTTGTATTACAAATGTGTGCTTTTCTGCTGCAGAGACATAAGAACTACATTTAGTACTATTTGGTAAAGTCCTGTGGGGTGCATGGAATGTCACACCATTAAAATATCCAGGAAACTTGAAACAGTGAGAGAGAAAGAGAACTGTAAGGGATAATGACAGGGCAGATATTTTACTCCTCTCAACAGAAATCCACCTCTTGCACACATTTTTTGTGTCTTGCCCTTCCAAGACCATACAAAAATATGGGTTAAAAATGATTACAACCCTGATCTGTGTGGTAATGGAAGAAGGTGTGCTAATAAACTGTAGTACTTGTGTGTATTAGCCTGGGTTTGGGTGCTCATTTGCTGTGAAGGTCACACTTGAAGAACCACCCACTAGTCACCTCTGTGTTGGAGCTAAAGGGCTCCACTCTATGAGTGTTACCAGACAACCAGTGCAAGTTGCAAACAGGAATGGAATGGATTTCAACTAACCGCAAAGCCAAAAATCCTGAAATTGATGGTTATACTACCAATGTTTCACCATCTATTCTTCATGAAACACCTAGAGAGGCTGATCCTTACATTTTTGACTCATTGTTTGGACTCACGTCCAATTTCTAATCTCTCTGCATATCTGTAGTGTTGTTAAATATTTTCATGTTTGGTAATTGATAAACTCACTCTTTCGTTAACTCAAGAAAACCTGTTAAATTGACTCCATTTAAAACATAAATTCATCAGGAATAAAGGCATCCACCAGAGAGGAATCTGTTTTAAATTAACCTTGTTGCAACCAACCAAATGGTGGGGAATAAATAAACGCAACAAGTTCATCCTTCTCACCAGGATCTTTATGATTTGGTGTAGCCTTTTGGAACCGTACAACTTGTGAAACCTCATCTGTGGTCCGATGTAAAAAATTCAGGGGTCGTGCTGCAATTTGAACCCAAAGACGAAACAAAAAATGAGATAAATTGTTACTTTAAGATCAATTTTTAAAAGTAAATGCTGCAAAAGGCTTTCTTGAGCTTATACTATTACAGAGTAGAGATCTCTGTATTTGAATTCAACACGTTCCTAACAAAATTGGCCAAAGTTATTTTTGATGATTTGAAAGTTCTGTCCGTTGAAACGTTAAAGGTTTTGCAAAGCACTTGGAATTAGAATTAGCCCGAAAGCTAGGCAACTTGAAATTTTAAAAGGGTTTGCCAATGGTTTACATGTGGACACTGGGGATGATGAAACAATAGAGTCTGCAGTAGTGAGAATAAAATTGAAGTAGCAGAGGTTAGAATTCGAAGAAAAGTAAAGAGAAAGAGGAAATCAAAATAGAGAAAGAAAGGAGTGGGAAAAGGAAGAAACAGGATTAATGGAAGAGAGAGGATTTCAGGAAAATGGCAGGAAGACGAGTCTGAACTAAGACAGCTTGAGCTGAGGGGCAGGAACTTTGTTGTGTCTCATGAAGACACCAGACTTGAGGTAACTTGGTTTACACATTTAATTCTTACATTTGAAAAGGCAGAGGTAGAAGATTTATTTAACGTTCTTGAATGGGTAGCACAGCAGTGAAATTAGTCAATTGAACGTTTTTTCATTACTGCTGTGGTATAATCTTTTGAGGAAACCTCTTGCCTGAAGAACATGCCAATAGCAATGAGGCAGTACAAAAAGTATATCTTAAATATGTACAAGTCAGTGCTGGAGGCAGTACCAATAAAAACGCCATACCATCAGGAAATGACTTGAAATTTAAAAAGATTAAGTGGCTTGATTTTGACCAGTGGATACGGACATTTAATCCAGAAAATTAAAATACACTAAATCTCTTTGAGGAGTTGAAAGACTCCATACCCTTGACAATAAGAATGAATGCAGTGAAACAAAGAGTGATGGATCCACGCAGGCAGCCATCCTGGCTAATGATTATGAGCTGATTCACAAACCCTTGTTCCAGAAGAATCCCTCCCCTAGTCACCTCCAACCAACTGGAAAGGATAGAGATGGGCACAGTGACAGGCAACTGAGCACCCACGGGAGTGAAGGAAATGCTGGGAGCCCTTATAGAAAGGCTGGTGCTGAGATAAATGGTGAGGTCAAAATGCCTGTGCGTTTTAACTGCTGAAAGTTGGGGCATGTTTGGGCCAACTGCAGGAAGCTGCAGGAAAAGAACGAGTCAGTCAGAGGGCCTAGCACATTAGGCTATGGCTCTGATTGTAGCTACGAATCCCTGTAAAAGCATGCCTGACAGTGTGGATGAGGTTAGACAAATCCCTGAGAATTACTGTGATTTTGTATCTAACAGAAGGGCAGCCACACTTCCCCATGGGTGAGGCAAGCATTCACATGTGATATTGAGGGATACTGGGGCCAGGCAAACTCTACTGCTGAGAAAAGGCACAACCTTCCCATCAGAGAGTGCAGTAGATGCCAAGATGCTGGTGAAATGATTAAGGTGGATACTTACCCATCCCCTTTCCCCAGGTTGCATTGGGAGTGCAATCACATGTTGGGAGCAGTGACTTTGGGAGTCATCTCCTGTTTGGCTGTGGCTGGGCATCGACCTGATCCTTCACAATGACCTGGGTGCGATCAAAGTTAGCAGGATCCTCAGGGGCCAGTTGCAGGAGAAAATGTGCACCATTTCCTTGGACTGTGTGGTCATTACAGGCAGTGGAGGCTGAAGTGGCACAGAAAAAGAAGTCCGTCAAATCTAGTTCTCTGAAACCTTCTTCAGAAGCCTAGTAGACACTAAGAGGTTAAAAATAGAACTTCCTTGGTAGCAGGCCCAGCAAGCTAAGAATCACCAGCTCAGGCCGCTCATACTGAAACTGAGGTGGAAAAGAAACTGAATGCTACTATTTTAAAAAGGAGGTGCT